TGTGAATGCTAATGATTGGGAAACATAGAAATCACATATAGTTCTACAAGATCCAGTGCAATTACCATAGCTTTTAAAAATACAGAGTACGTAGAAGCCTTGTATTACAAGTATTTATTTTTAATTACAGTTATTAATCTTCTTTTATTGAGGCAGTGAAAGGTAACCCTGGACTCAATGAGGAGCCATCTCACAAGTCTTGCAAACTACTGGGTTGACAACCTTTGTTTTGAGTTCTAAATGGATTGTATCTAACTAAACCACTGTGTAATTATGGATCCTTTGTGATTTCACATTCTCATCTTATAGTCACTCTTTTTCTGATGTGCAATGTTGTGTTTAGTAGCTTATCTGAAAACATCAATATGGTTTTGAAAAGGATGAAATCAAATTGTAACAGTTTGTGTTCACATAATGTGTGCATAGCCAAGGGGAAAGGTGGTAAGATATTGCACTATCTCACTGTATTTTAATGTTACAGACATTGGAAAAATAACTCTATTTTTGTATTCTCTACAAAGTAGTCCAGCCAGATTTATTTCTTATATATTTGTAAATGATAAAGACTGGACTAACATTAATGTACATCCACAGGACAGAAGAGATTGCATATAAAGTGAGGAAAAGTTTCTGACTTCCTTTTCTTGTAATCAAAGGGAATGTTAACCTCATGCATCTTACTTAAAAATATTGAAAGATAGCAAAATGTTCCATATACATTTAAAAAAAAAATCTGTCTCTCTGTTTTATAATGCTCGGCAATAATTCTCTACTTTCACTGTACAGTCGGATCATCAAGGGAATTTATAAAAACTCTCAATGCCTCTGGCCACACCCCAGACAGCTAAATCAGAATCTCTGTTACTGAAATTCACACATCAGTATTTTTTCAAGCTCATGGAGTGATTCCAATGCATAATCGCAATTAAGAGCAACATATATATTATTATAGATTTAAAGGCAATATATTATTGATTCATCATGTTATAATATAGTGTAAAAAGGAACAATTGTCATAATAAAGCTTGTGATGTCACTGAAATGCCACATTTCAATGAGTTGATTTGACTCATAGATCCTAAACATTCCTTTAAAATTTGATAAAAAAATACTAGTAAAGTCTGCCTAAACTTTTACTCTCAAATTTAATTACATATGCATTGTATTTCCACAATGAAGTGAATTTTTGCCAGTCTCTTGGTGGGAGGGAGTTGTCATTGAGTTGGTTCCAACTCAATGACAACTCCATGTATTACAAAGTAAGACTGAACTCAATAGAATTTTCCTGACTATAATCTTTATAGAAGCAAATAGCCAGCTCTTTCTTCAATGGAACTGCTGGGTGGGTTCAAATCACTAACCCGCAGTTATCAGCCAAACATAAATTGTTTGTGCCACCCAGGGATCTCATTTGGCACTCTCTTTTAGATTTGTCCATCAAAGAAAATGAACAATGCCTTAGTAAGACAGGTAGCTACTATAATGACCTGAGATGATCTTTATTTACTACTGTTTTTTTTTTTATTATTATTATTATACAATCTTTTTAAAAGATACTAAAGAAAAGAAAGTTCGGTCTGTATGTACATGATTTTAATAAAAGCTAATTTTCTGTGTTTAGTTTTAATGAATGATTCCAGAGAAAGTGTTATTTGTCTATTTAATTAAAAAATATATATGTATTTGAGTATAAGATAAAGATATACTTTAAAATAATTTAAGTGTGTTTTTTTTTTTCTTAATTTTTCAAATGCCACTATTATTTAAAACTTCTAGGGTAGTATATAATATAGAGTAGTAATGATTACTGTTATTATTATTTTATTATCTCATACTTCATTGAACTATTTGATTTGAGCTTGTATTTTGTTCTGTAGTTTATTAAACATTTTTTTTTCTTTCCTATTGGTACATAGAATCATGGCACATCTTACCATAGTTGAAATCATAGGTTTGATGAAATAAAGGCAGTAACACCAGTTCAATGTTTTGCAAACCCATCAGAAACCATGAAAATCGTAATTGTTATTCATACAAGTCTATGCATTTGAGAAACTGACATTTGTTGTTGTTGTTATGTGCCGTGAAGTCGGCCCTGACTCACAGCAACACCTCCTTAGGTTTTGAGGCAGTATCACTATGGAGGTGGATTGCCCAACCTTCCTTCCGAGGAGTGGCTGGCGGGTTTGAACTGCCAGCCTTCTGGTTAGCAGTCAAGTGCTTTAGGCACTATGCTGCCAGAGCTCCTGAAAAACTAACATAGCGAAAATAATTAATTTTTATAGCTTAACAATTATTCTACACATTATCAGTACAATTAAACAACATCATGATAAATGGAGAAAAGTTTGAAATTATGAAGAATTTCATTGTACTTGGAGTACAAAATGTCTTTTCAGCTCAGTAACTATTTACATAGGAAGAACAGGAACAATTAATATAAATATTAGCCATATTTTATTTTTCTGCTACATTAAATAATGGCATAAAGGAAATGCTCTGAAAGTGTGCATAATAGCTGCATTAATAGTAAATTAGTTCATTATACGTTTGACACATATAATGAATACAAACATAATATTTGCAAGTGTATTTTCTTTTAACCATAAAAATGAAGTGCACCAAAATAAGATGCTGAAGTTAATTATCGGCTTTTAGATTGATATTTTAATAATTTATTCAAATTCATATATCATCCATTTTTTTACCTTTGTTGGCACTTTATGCAACATGCACATATTTTGATGTAGAATAAATCATTTTCCTCATGTGATGATGGTCTTTACCATACTTTTTGTTGAGTGTTCTGAGTCCATTTAATGATGTTTCCTAGAGTTTCAAGTCAAAAGATGGGACATATAGAAATCATTTGAATCTTGCTCCCAGAATGGAAATTCACTTTTTGAATCACGATTTTCTTTTTTCCTACATTTTGATTTCCTAATATGCACAATATCTTACATATTGTGGGTGCTTAATAAATGTTTCCCACAAAAATAATACATGCTAAGAAAAATACTATGATTTAGGTATGTATACATTCTTTTCTGGACGTATTGCAATACACTTCATTGAATAGGTGATATTTTAGTTGTTTTTTTAAAAGATGATTAAGTTCACAGCAGCGACACAATCAGTATTTGTTGTATTATATGTTTTCATTTTCTACTTTTTATTGTTTTTTTGTTTTTTTACTTGTTAATGAAGGAAAATTAATTTTCATGATGCTGAATTGTGTTGTTTTAAGTAGTTCATGAGTGACTGGTTCATTGTGTTTTATGGAATGGTTTTAATTTTACATTCAGAAGATTATACATTAAAAATTAACTTAAGCTGAGTAAACTTCTATTCCTTCTCTGGATCCCTGGTGACACTTTTTTCATATTCTATAATCAGGATGATTTAAAATTACATGACTGAGATGTCTGTATGTTGACAAATGGAAGCATGCCAAACTTGTGATGACCACCTAGAGAAGTCAAAAATGAAATATGGGGTCCTTTGGATTTGTAAACAATGAATGGCTTTTCTCAGGACATTAATTTCTAAAAGTGAAGGCAATTATAATGTAGCTCCTTATGAGTCAGTGCACTCCAGGGACTACCAGCATCTGAACTTTTAGAAATGCAAAATTTTCGGCTCCACCTCAGAGCTACTGAATGAAATTTGAATTTTAACAAATCCACAGGTGATTGCTATACACATCAATTTTTTAGAAATGCTGATAGCCTAATCTCTTTATTGATCTCTGGACCTCCACTTCCAAATTTCATCTCAATTTGGGATCTGTGAATATGATCTTATTTGGAAACAGGGTCTTGGCAGCTATGATCAAGTTAAAAGAAGGTCATACTCAATTAGAGTGGGCCCTAATCCAGTGATTTACCATTGCTGTCAAGTAGGTTCTGATGCGTAGTTACTCTATAGAACAGTAGAACTGCCTCATAGAGTTTCCAAGGTAGTAATCTCTATAGAAGCATATTGCCACATCTTTCCCTCCCAGAAGGGCTGGTGGGTTGCAACCACAGACATTTTGGTTAGCAGCTTAGCACTTAAACATTGTGTCACCAGGGTTCCATGTGCAGTGACTACTTTCCTTATAAGAAGAGCAAAATTTGAATACAGAAACACATCCAAGACAGCAGCTATGTAAAGATGGAGGTAGAAAGGGGAGTGATGGTGCTGCAAGCCGAGGAATGCCAAATATTGCCAGCAACTACCAGAAGCTGAAAGAAACAAAGAAACAGACTTCTCTAGAGCCTTCAGAGAGAGCTTGGCCCTGCAAACACTTCAATTTTAGACTTTTAGCCTTCAGAAGTATGAGAGAATACATTTCTATTGTTTCAAACCACCCACTTTGTGTTACTTTGCTACAGCAACCCTAGAAACCAAATACAAATACTAATTGGAAATTTGCATAATGCATATTGGCCCTAAACATTTCCTTCATATTCGATGGCACATAACAACAACAGCAAGACAGGGTTTATATTAGTCTCAAACCAAATGGAAATCATATACATCTAGAATTTGGAATAGAAAAATAAGCTCAGTTTTACATATTAAAAACCATGGACATATGGCTTTTTTTTATTCTTATGACTTTTGAGTTACACACTAGTTTGTTTTTGTAAATAAAGAAATGAATTAATCTATCTTGCTGTACCTGATTGTCTATTGACAGTCTCAGGATGTTTTAGCTTTCTTCCAAACCAAAAAACCAAACTCACTGCTTCTTTGACCCATGGAACTCATGTTGCTTTGTTCCCTACAGGAGTTAAAATAAAATATTATTAGTAATTATGCATATTTAATTTTCAAAATGCAAAGTGGTTACTCAACATTTATGAAAAAGAAAGTAATTTTAGGTATTTATAAAATGCTTCCCTAGTATTGGACTTTCGAGATTAAAGTTATGTTCCTATTGATATTTTTTTATCATTGTAATCAGAACAAAAAATGAATTTATTTACACACCCCTCTTCTTGTGTCTTTTCCAGATGCAAGACAAAGGTCTACCCTGATGAACTTCCAAATACAAGTGTAGTCATTGTGTTTCATAACGAAGCTTGGAGCACTCTCCTTAGAACTGTTTATAGTGTTATAAACCGTTCTCCACACTATTTACTCTCTGAGGTCATCTTAGTAGATGATGCCAGTGAAAGAGGTATGGGCTTTTTCTTATATAACTTTTAATTAGAAAGCTTTATGAGGGTCAAAAATATAGATGCTCAATGTTCTGCATTTGCAGGTTTGTCAACAACCACCTACAAAATTTTAATCTTTTTTTTTTTACTTCATCAATTTTTTTACTTCATCAAATTTATTTACTTCATCAATGTCGACTCCAGGACCAAGAAACTATTATTTTCATTTTTCTTTGATAACTAAATTTGGCTCTTCCTAACCTGAGAATTCAGTAAAAATGACTTTCAAATTGCTCCTTTATAATATTTTTTTTGTCAACTCATGTGGTCATATTATTGAGCATTTATATGACTTTGTAGATACTTGTCCTTTTTTTCCTTTCCGTTCAGTCAAAAGAAAATAACTACATTTGCCAGTGTGGCCCAGTTTGCAAATTACATACTGGTATCTTATTAACTTCCAATTTTATTCTTATACTTGTCAGCCAAGTAATACATAGGGTCATGATGTGCTATACGTTAACTGATGAAATCTCTCTATCTTTATTTCATCTAATGCAAACACAAAAATGTTATGGAAAGGAGTTGGCCAACCATTTCTCTGTGTTGCTTTTCCATCTGGCAATATCTCGGTTGTGTCTTAAAACAGTTTCAAAATTTTCTTATACATTCTAATTATATGTTGCAGATTTTCTCAAGTTGACATTAGAGAATTATGTGAAAACTTTAGAAGTGCCGGTAAAAATTATTAGGATGGAAGAGCGCTCTGGGTTAATACGTGCCCGCCTTCGAGGAGCAGCTGCTTCAAAAGGGCAGGTCATAACTTTTCTCGATGCACACTGTGAATGCACTTTAGGATGGCTGGAGCCCTTGCTGGCGAGAATAAAGGAAGATAGGTAAGAATTTGTGTTGTATGTCTGCCTGGGTTATGACAAAACCTGTTAGGACAGTCCCTGCTGTCCATCAGAACTTCTAAGTAGAAGTTTTCAGAAAAATTATTTCCTAGCTTTTAAAAGAAACTTTTCTCTTTTTATAATAAGTAAGATCTTGACTTATTTGTGTTGAATGTGGCAATTTGATGAAGAAATAGTCAAACAAGTCAAACAATTAAAATGTGTTGAATATCCATTTTTTAGGAGGAGATTAGTTCAATCTGAAATAATACAGTATTTTTTAAAGCACAGTTTCACAGCACCACATTATGTTCTTACAGCTACCCACTGAGGTAGGTAATGTAGATATTCTTATCTATATCCAATCATAGGAAGGAACAAAGAAGTTAAATAGCTTTCCCAATTATTGGAAATGCTGGCAACAATAATTCCTTTTTTCCCACTTCCAAATCAGGGTTCTCTCTACTATATTGGCATCTTTAGTCAAAGTCTGGTTCAAAATCATGTGGAGAATCTTAAAAGCAGTTGCACACATACCCACAATCCTCACTGAAATAAAATCATGATTTGAAAACAATATAGAGAGCATAGTTAGAAAAATGATAAATAATAATATTTAAACAATATTGCCACTCTGTACATAGAAATTCTGAAATCTGAGAAACGGAATAACACTTCATTAAAATTCAGAATGCTTATAGAGAATTTTTTCTTATAATGATGCTATGATGTATCAGCTCTTTTGTTGCAGGTATTCATAAACATTTCAACAACTGAGTACAATTTCTAAGCACTTAATGAAGAGAACTATCATTGCATCGTGTCTGTGATATGACAGCAAATCTTCCATAACACCTTCTTTGCATAGTCAATTCACCTACAGAGGAAAGGTCTTTCTAGAACTGGAGTTTTTATTTAAGCACCCAGGACAGGTGCTGCTTAGTCAGGGCTAGTCCAGGCATATCACATAAATGGCAGGATTTGGTACTTGCCAGGAAGATGTATGGAAGCTGTCAGTAAAATGAACCATAGCAGTTGAAGAAAGCAGTAGAAACCTTTTAGTCAATGGAGTGTAGAATGCAGCTAATAACATTTTTCTAGTCCGTGTATTGTACAATACCCACAGGAAAGTAAGATGGAAAGTAAAATGAACTTGGAGCATCTTAAATGTGTTTACTGACAGCTTTTCATATATCACACTGCTTTTCAAATCATGTGCTTCATATTCAACTTAGGGAATTTTTAAAATAATATTTTAAAAATATAGCATGCATGTTGTTATTGTTGTTATTTGCCATGGAGTCGGCCCCTACTCATAGTCATAGCGACCCCCCCCCTTGCGTTTCCGAGGCAGTATCACTACGGAAGTAGGAATGCCCAACCCTCCTCATAGGACACATATTTTTTAATCATCATGTTTAGATTTCATTTACCTATGATATAAAACCAAAAACAAACTCACTGCCATTGAGTCATTTAGACTCATAGCATTCCCTCTTTGGGTTTCTGAGGTGGTATCTCTAGAGAAGTAGATTGCTCAATCATCCTTCCGAGGAATGGCTGGCTGGTTGGTTTGGAATGCCATCCTTCTGGTTAGCAGTCAAATGCCTTAGACACTACATCACTAGAGCTCCCTTACCTATAATAATGAACTCAAATCTCGTGTCCTGGTTACAAATTCTTGTTTTTGTTGTTGTTGTTATGTGCCGTCGAGTCGGCCCCGACTCATAGCGACCCCTCCTTGGGTTTCCGAGGCAGTATCACTACGGAAGTAGGATTGCCCAACCTTCCTTCCAAGGAGTGGCTGGTGGGTTTGAACCGCCAGCCGTCTGGTTAGCAGGCAAGTGTCTTAGCCACTATGCTACCAGAGCTCCCGTTATAAATTCTAGTGTTGCTATAACCAACCAGTTGTCATCCAATCTATTCTGACTCATGGTGGCTCCATTTGTGTCAGAGTGGAATTGTGCTGTGTAAGGTTTTCTTTTTCTTTATTTAACCCCAAGAAATGTTTTTAAATGATGGAATTTAGGGAGGCACTTACTGCCTTTTCCAGCAGCTAGGATTTGGGGTGTTCTTTTCTAGATTCTTTCTGCTTTTTTGTTTTGTTTTGTTTTGTCTTTTTTAGTATTTTATTGGTGCTTCAGAGAAAGTTTACAGAAAAAAAAAAAACTGTTTCGCATTCAGCAATTTGTAAATGGATTGTTGTTGACATTAGTTGTAATCCCCAAGATGTGTCAGCACTACCCCTATTTCCACCTTTCATTCCCTGTTTCCATTCACCTAGTTACTTGCCTCTTCCTGTGTTCTTAATTCTGACTTTTGGGCAAGATTGCCCTGTTAGTCTCATATTGTTCTGAGGAGCATGTTCCCCTGGGTGTTACTGTTCACTTTATAAGCCTGTCTTTTATGTTGCTGGAAGGTGATCTCTGGGAGGAACTTCAGTTCTAAGTTACAAAGGTGGCTAAGGACCATAAGTTCAAGGGTTCCACCAGTCTCTATTAGGTCAGTACACTTGATCGTGAATTTTAATTTTGTTCTATATGTTTCTCCTACTCTATCTGGTAACTTCCTGGTCAGAGCTGTTGGTGATAGTAGCCAGACATCATCCAGTTCTCCTGGTCTTGGTTTAGTGGAGGCTGTAGTTCACGTGTTCCATTAGTGTCCTCAATTGTTTCCTTAAATTTTTGGTTTTCTTCCGTCTTCTTTGCTGTGGATGGAAAGAGACCAATAGTTGTGATTTAGATGGCTACTTTTAAGCTTTTAAGACCTCAGTTGCTACTTACCACAGTAGGACATAGAACATTGTGTTTATGGCTCATATTATGCCAACTGATGTCTGAGACTATGGTCACTAGCCTTCAGGTCCTCAAGATGTGGGAAGTGTTTTGTTATGGCTAAGAGTTTTTCATGACTATGACCCTTGTCCACTCTATTATATAAACTGGTATGTTTGCAGCATGTGCAAATATATATATAGTATTATCCACTGCTAACCCTATATATGCATGTGGGTGTACTCCTTTATGCCCTTCCACCTCTGTTAGGTTTACATAACTACCTATATATCCATTGGTATGTTATTGTTTGTTACTACTGTTGTTACAGGATTACTTAAGTAATATATTTACCTTTGTACTCTTTTACTCTCATGTACCTTTCAGTATCTTCTTTCACCTTTTTTATGCTGTCCTGACTTCCCCCATATTGTATATTGTCACCATTCATCCCAAGTCTACTATCTCATTAGTGATTTTCCTTCTCTCCCCTTCCTATCCCTGCTAACCATCAAATAACATTTCTTTCTGTGTGGAAATATTTTCTTCTTTTTATATTACTGATCTCTTACCATATTTGTGCTTTTGTGTTTATTTCACTCAGCATAATGTCCTCCAGATTTATCCATGTTGTAAGATGTTTTGCAGGGTAATTGTTAATCTTTAACATTGTATAGTATTCCACTATGTGTATGGACTACTGTTTATTGATTGATTCATTCATTAATGGGCACTTAAGTTGTTTCCTTCTTTTTGCTATTGTGAATAATGATGCAGTGAACATAGATATGTATATTATTTCCATTTGTGTCATAGCTCTTTTTTGCTCTAGGATATATACCTAGGGGTGGGATGGCTAGATCATAGGGTATTTCTATCTCAATTTTTTTGAGGAAGCACTATACCATTTTCCATAATAGTTCTACCATTTTACATTCTTACTGGCAGTATATGAGAGTTCCAATTATCCCTACAACCTTGCCAATATTTGTGCTGTGTTTTTTTAATTATTACCATTATTGCCAGTGAGAGATGGTATCCCATTGTAATTTTGATTTGCATTTCTCCAATGATTAATGATTGAGAGAACACCTTTTAGTTTGTTGGCCACCTAAATATCTTCTTTGGTGAAGTTTATGTTCGTGTTCTTTGCCCATTTTTAAAAATCATTATTGGATTGTATATCTTTTTGTTGTTAAGATGATAGAATTTTCTATAAATTTCACAGATTTAAAAAAAAAAAAAA